TACGTAATTGGAAGTGTGTGTGAAGGTGATTGGATGGTGTGTGCCTGTGGGGTTGTGTGAACGGTAATGCTGTGCTGGTGTGTATCTGATGCGCTGATGTTCCAGTGTTCAAGTGCGAATTGAGGGTGTAGGGCTGTTGAAGAGTGGGTATAAATGTTAGTGGGAAATAACTGGTGGAAAAGTTCGATGAGGGTTTTTGGGTTGCGCGAGGAGGTTTCTTGGAGAGAGGGTTCTGGGATGGGTATTGCATTGTAGGTGTTGTGTATGAGTGGATGTTGCATGCAATGTGTGCGCAAGTGGCTTTTGAGGTGTGGATAGCGGTTGTTGGGAGTGTAGATCTTGGTTGTCGGTTTGCTCGTGTTTATGGATATATACGTAATGCTACTTGCACTTGCCCCCAAGAGCTTGTTAAAGCTATACTGGGGATCGTTATCTTTGTGTGCCTTGAGAATGGGTTTGTGTTATTATGAGTAGGTAGCCGGTGCTTGTGTGCCACGTGGGATCAGTCACCACTTGTTGTGCACAGTCCTTGCCGCTGCACTAACGAGGACAAACCTCGCCATTGCTGCCAGACACCAGCGACATTCAATCGCCTTCCTTGGCAAGGAATGCAGCAGTGGCACAGCTGCTAAAACCGCATGGGCCCCCGTTACCCGGACCGCTGGGGCCCACGCCACGTTTTGCCCCATGATGGCTTCAGGATTAAAGTGTATTGGCTTAAACATGGGATTACTTCAAGGCGCTTTAACACCGCACAATAGTCAACACCGCCAGGATTAAAACTTCAAAATACAACAATTTCAGGTAGAATAAATATGTAGGTACACGTGCGTGGAATTACATTGGGACAGGAACGTGGATTAGAGAACAAAAGCAAGCTGGAAACATTAAGGGCAAGTGGGTGGGACATGTTGCCACTCAGGATGATGGCTGGTGGTCGAGATATGATGGGAGTGGCAGAAAAAAGAGGAAACGTGCATGAGGACATTGGCCACAGATGTAGCAATGAAGTCCGCTCTGGTGCAGCAGTTGGATGGATTGTTATATTGCAAGACAACGGCTTGGGGAGGCCATCCAGTAGTGGATTGATAATGGCTGGTGAAAAACAGCTCCTGTGCAAGACCTACAAGGAGACGGGGATTTTCCAAAAGTTGTGTACCAACCATTACACCACGGCAGCCTCCCTTCGCTTCACTTGGTAACCGGTTTTTTTCATTCGGTTACCGGTATTTGCAAAATTTTTTTTTTTTAACCACCCTACTCTGCTGTGTCATGCCCCTGCGGAGAGAGTATGTGCTGTCCCCACTCGCGTGGTCCTCTGCAATGGGTCCAAGCCATCATCGTAAATCTCTCCCGGGCCCAGAATAGCCGCGGCCCGAGGTTGTGCTCGGTATCGCCTTGCCCGGTGGGAGACATGTCGCCGATACTTTGGTGTGGCCTTCAGTGTCATAATCACGAGGGTGTTGGTGGTCATTCTCCATCCACTGCTGAGTGGAAATGAACTAAGCTGACTGAGGTTCACGTCAGCGCCTGGGGTGTATGCTGCTGCACCATCAAATGTCCCCGGTCTGGCGCATGCTTTTGTGACCTCCATGCTTCCCTTTAAATAAAGAGACTCTCAGGCCCACGGTCTTGCGTTGCAGCTCAGTTCAGGCTTAAGTCGCTCAGAATTGCTGTCAAAGACGCATGAGTGTGCTCGGCCCACATAAATCCTGAGCATGGCTGGGACCGATGCACGGAGCTGGCTCAAGTTAAGCACAATGGCTTTGAGACGGCTTCCACGAGCCGTGCCACAAATGGGCTCTCGGTTGGATTTAAGTGAAGGATGCCTCTGAGCCACACAGCCACGTCCCCATGGCCAAGCAAATTACGAGTCGCTGGAGAGAGGACATTTATTTACTGCTGTGTGTAAAACCGGCCAGACGGCTTCAGCGGTCAACCGAGCGGCTCGCGGTCAACCGAGCGGCTCGCGGTCAACCGAGCAGCTCACGTTCGGAAGTTTGCGAGTTCGATTCCACGACCCTTCATCAGCCGTGGTTGTCCTATGAATCGGGGCTCGCTCCTGCCGTAGGAATTCGGAACTTTCACGCCACTGGCTCAATGCTGTAAACACGAGATGAGGTGAGATCCCTTAGACTTTTATATTAATTTGCGTCGCCTGTAATAATTCAGATGCTGCCCCGTCACTACCAGTTGGCCTGTCATGATTCGCCCCCGTTAGCCACATGATAAACTGTCCTCATTTAAACTTGATTCGGAGCTTTCGTGACTGCAGGAATTACTCTTTGCTTCTTTCGGTAAAGTCACGGAGAAAGAAAATAAATTAAATAAATATATTTTTTCTTTTATATAAATAAATCAAATAAATAAAATATTTATTTTATTTTCTTTCAACGTGGCCTTACCGAAAGAACCAAAGAGTATGTCCTCATTCAGTTTTGGGGGTGGGGGGGGAATTAAAATGTTTGAATGTGATGGATCTTGCGCCCTCCGGTGGCCGTAGGGCTCATGTGCCACAACGCGCCGGTAAATACACGCGTGGATATTCTTGGTTCTGTCGGTGAAGTCACGTAGAAGGGAAATAATAAAATTAATTTATTTTATAAAATAAAATTATTTTCACGTAGAAGGGAAATAATTTAATTTTTTATAAAATAATAAAATAAAATTATTTTATATTATTTCCCTTCTACGTAACTTCACCGATAGAACCAAGAATATGAAACCCTGCAGTCACAAAAGCTTTAAACCTTGCCTGTCAACCCCTTGTCAGTGCCCTACCTTATTACAGACCAAGTCAGACCTTATTGGTTACCCCGTGCTCCTTATAAATCTCAACGTTCATCCTACAAAAGTCCCTTCCATAAGGGAGAAACACAAAAACATGTTGTGCCCGTATTTGAAACGGCTCTACGCCAGATGGACCTGAAAACTAAATTTTCCCTGTACAAGAATGTGGGTTGACAGGTATGCAACACGATCTTCATCCATGACGAATCGGTGCACAACACTCGGGATAAACCACTTTCAGCCATGGGAGTCTCAACAAAAAAATTCCAGAGCGTATATTTCACTGGCTGATAGGATGTGTTAAAAAATGTTTTTTAATACTGTGATGGATATTGCTAGGTTTCGTTGTATCTATTCACGCCGGTGCCAATGAGCATCATCTCGTGGTGATGGCTGGCATCACTGCCTTGGTGGTGACTGGTTTCGGTGGCCGTGGCGGTACGAAACGTCTCCAGTGGCGACAGTCACCGTGATGCGGGATCATGGTTACGATGGGGGTCATTGCTCATGACCCCCATTCTTCTCGGCAGCTGTGTTAGCGGATGGCTCCGTATCAGAGGCGACGAGTCAAACGTGCTTTACGGTCGACGTCCTCTTTAAACACATTCCTGCGGAGGGAGCTGGTAGGAACGTTGGGTTGCTCGGTCAATGGCCAGGATCAACGGCGGCGTGGTGTATTCCGCAAATATGCCCGACTGTGAGGGCGGGCACAAGCCGGTGTGAGTAGGTTAAACGTTGAGTTTTATAAGGGCACCACGGGGTGACCAGCCCCTCCCCTCCCAGCCCCACCCCTCCCACCCCCCACCCAGCCCCTCCCCACCCAGCCCAGCCCCACCCCTCCCACCCCCTCCCCACCCAGCCCAGCCCCACCCCTCCCACCCCCACCCCTCCCCACCCAGCCCCTCCCTGCACGACGGACGGACACAATAATCCCCTCTTGGCTGGTGTCACCAGGAGGTTCCTACCAGTATTGTCATGTGGCTAGTGAGTTTATCACCGTAATAAGTAATGTTTAAAACAACTTATTTTTTTTAAACACGCTTTAATGAAATCTACTAGCAATGGAAGAACTCCACGACTCCAGGAAGTGGCCCCGAAGCTTGGCATAACGTAAGGAACCGTGGCCAATTACAGCCAAGGTCAGTTGAGCGTGGACAATTAGACCCAAGCCGAAACATAACATGAAAAAGAATGTTTAAAAATATCTATTATTTTTACACGGTCGTAAGCGCGCAAGCAAGCAAGTGAACTTAATATAAAGGATTTAAAAACAAAGTTTTTAAATCCTTTATATGCGTGGCGGCTAGAGTCCTCTCGTCCTCTGGCTTGAGATGGCTGCCACCTATGGGTCAGATGATTGCCTGCCACCATTAAGCAATTGGTAATTAAATATAATTTATTTTTTCCTAAAAGTGTAAAATTTTGGAAAAAAAGTTTCACGAAAATAAATTGTCACGCACAACGAGTCTGTGTGCAAAATGTCAGCTCGATTGGAGTGGGTTAAAAAAACGACCGAAAGATTTGCACGGTCGTAAGCGCGCAAGCAAGCAAGCAAGTGAACTTAATATAAAGGATTTCAAAACGACCGAAACATTTGCACGGTCGTAAGCGCGCAAGCAAGCAAGCAAGTGAACTTAATATGAAGGATTTAAAAACGACCGAAAGATTTGCACGGTCGTAAGCGCGCAAGCAAGCAAGTGAACTTAATATAAAGGATTTAAAAAGCGTGTAATAAAAAAAAACGGCACCACCACGAAAAATGTCACCCGGCCGTTGTTTGGCGATGACGTCATTTGTCAAACGCCCGCGATGACGCCACGCGCTTCCGTCTTGAGCAGAGGCGCGACACGACGTCACATCTACGGCGTGCCCGCGCGATGACGTAACCAGCCGCGCCGACGCGCGATCCACGCGCCAAACCATCCCACCCACCCCGTCCCGCGGTGACGTCACCAAGCCGACCAATCAGACGCGGCCAAGTCACCCCTCGGAGCGCGCGCGCCGCTTTCGGGCCGCGCGCGCGCGCCGAGGCCACTCCCCCCTCGCCGCGCATGCGCGAGGACGGCCCCGACGCGCGAGCAGCGCATGCGCAGTAGCGGTTCCTCGGGCGTGAGTGCCACGTCCCCCCCCAGCCCCGCCCTTCGGCCCCCTGCCCCCCCCCGCCCCTCGCCCCCCCCCCCCGCCCCCTGACCCCACATCCCCCCGCCCGTCGCCTCGCCCCGCCCTCTCCGGCTCCTCCATCTCGTCTCGGCGGCCGCTGCTCTGCTCCACTCTCGCTCGTCCCGCTCGCTCCTCCGTTGCTGTTCGTTGCCTCCCGCCTTCCGACATGAAGCTGCTGCCCTCGTTGCTGCTGCTGGCGGCCGCCTGCGTGGCGAGATCGTACGGCGAGGTGAAGGAGGAGGAGGACGTTCTCGTGCTCACGGGCGCCAACTTCGCGGAGGCCCTCAGCGCGCACCCGGCCATCCTCGTGGAGTTCTGTGAGTGGCCCGCATCGATCGCTGTTCACCTCACATCGACTGGCCCGTGTCTCCTCACTCACTCTCCTCACTCTCCTCCTACTATCGCACATCTTCACACCTACTGGCACCCTCCTCACTCTGAGCTACTGGCATCTCCTCGCCCTCACAAACCCTGACCTGGCCTCTTCCTGACATGACACAACCTGACATCGGCTGTCGTGATGTGGCACAGTTGGGCCTCATTCCGCTGAGTCTCGATGGCGATTTGAGCTGAGCTCTTTCTTTGGATGGACCTGGCGTGACATAATCGCGCCTGGCATGGCCCCAGATCATAGCTTGGGACAATTTTGCTCTTAAGCAGAGCTGGTCTTGGTTGGACATGGCTCCAATGTTGGCTGTGATTTGATATTTGGCCTGACCTGCGAATGATCAAACCTGGTCTGATCCGGACCTCAGCTGACCTCGTACAATCTTGACTTGAAATTTAAATTTTTACCGAAATATCCAAAGAATATGACTACAATTTGTCGTCACCCTGTTTTTGGCTAGTAATTGCTAAACTTTTTGAGTTTGACCTGACCTGGTAATCATCTCGCCTGACACGACCCTGATCTTAACTGATGGGATCTACATCATGGTATTTCCCATGATGTGATCTCACTCAATCAGTGAAAGACCCACCAAGCTTTAGTGGTGATCTGATTTGACCTGCCTGAGATACCCATGCCACCAGTCCTCCCTCAATTCCGGCCTCACCAGCCCCCATCACGGACCAGTTGCACAGAACAACTAACGTTGCACTTTGCACTGCTTTGTAATTGAAATAAGATTTAGTTAAAGGGATGGGGGGAAAGGTCACTTAACACGTTCCATGCAACCAGCCAATGATGCACGTCCCCTGTGGTATGTGCTCTGGTGGAGCTCAGCATCATGAACCCACCTGTGAGTTGGGTAACTCACCTATGGTAAATTAGCTCACCTGTGTGCTCTGTAACTCTCCTGTGAGACAATTAACTCGCCAGAGTTCATTATGACACCTTTATAAGACCAACTAATTTATTATAACTCCACTTTGGGTTTATCCACTGACCTGTGGGTTCATGAACTCATCAGTGGCTTGAGTTAGCTCACCTGCAAACAGGATTACCCATATGTAGGTTTATTATATTCCTTACCTCGCCTGCGAGCAGGGTAACCTACCTAGGGGTTGGTTAACATTTTGCAGACCGCTAAACCCGCCCCAACCCTTCAATCAAAGCCACCTCCTGCCTCACCCAGTGACCAAAGTTCCAAATCAAGTCGTGGAGGCGTCATAACTACAGGCGCAAATGCAGCGCGGCTGCAGCGAGGCAGGGTTGAATTAAATGTGCGTGTTTTGAGTCCACGTTTTTTTCTGGAGTGAATCTCATTCTCATTGACAGGCAGAAGAGGTTGGCAGCAATCAGCAGTGCCAGTGCACATGGTTTACTCGCGCAGGGCCCTACGTGTGGGGTGGAGGGGCTACCTGTGGGTGGTGGTGACACGTTGACCAATGCCTAATTTGCATTCCATGAGACGGGAAGAGACGTTGGCCACTGGTTTGACTGGTGTGGAACAGGCAGGGTCGGTGGTGAGGGAAGGGTATGTGTGAAGGTAGCCGTGGAGGAAGTGGGAGGTTTGTGCGTGGAAAGATGACAAGGTGAGAGAAGTGTGGGAGTGTGAAAGTTGGGGAAGAAGTGTGGAAGGGAGGGTTGATGGAGGCGCAAAGGAGCTGCGAATGAGAGTTGTGTGGAAAGTGAGGGTTGAGGGTTTGAGCGTTGTTTGGAGGATGTGAGGGAAGTTACAGGTGTGGAGAAAAGTTAGGCAGGTGAAGAGGGGGAGATGAGATATGGTGAGATTGATGCTCTGTCTCCCTATAAAGTTTATGATCGGAAGAGTTCCCAGACATGGGTGCAACACATGAAAACCCCGGGAGAAGATGGGGGAGAGGCGGTCGTGGGGCAGGAATTTTCTCGGGAAGGAGATGTTTGCCGAAATGTTTAGATGCACGTACAGCTGGGTCACGTCAGGCAGCAGGGGAGGGGTGGGTATCATCCGTGCATTAATTACACCGAGACCTCAAAAAAAGCCTCTGACACATTCACCAGGCAACACATAATTACTCTACTTGTGCAATATCCAGGGTTCGCCGTCGAAATCGCGTAATTATTCTCGGCGATTGCAGCCATTGTTGCAGGGGCGAGTTACACGTGGCGTGCTTTTACTTGTTGCGTTTGCAGGAAGCTTCCGTGTCCTGCTGCACGTGTTGTGTAACCCCTCCCTCTGCTGCAGACCTCGATGAATCGCGATGGTTGGCGACGTGGCTTTGTATGTCGGTTGAGTGCCACGCAGTTTGGCTTGCCGCAGATTTGCACAGGGGACTGTACACAACGCAGCTTGGAGGGCGGTTGATTTAACCAAAGTAGAGACCAATCTCAGGCGACGTATATTGGCACTTCCTAGAGTCGCGACGCTCTGTCCCCTGTGCGGATGTGTTGGGGTGACCCTGACACAAGCTCCACGTCACCCGGCTGTTACTAGTGCAGGCCACAGATGCTGTTTGAACCTTAATCTGATTGTTGCGCTGCAGCTGCAAAGGGCAGTTGGCCCACAGTCAACCCTAAATTGTCTGTGGGCGGCTTATCCTGGTTGCGGATTATCCGAGTTACAAACAAAAATTTTCATATCTTAACGCCCACGCTGGTTTAATTATTAGCTGCTCCTATCTTCAAGGGTCAGGACTTTACCATTTTGTTGGAAAGTAAGCTGATTACTTAAAAGTGCATTAAAACCAAGTGCAACACTGTCTTCTTTCACATTTTGCGTAGGTAAATGACAGATTTGTTTGGCATTTTACATGCTTTTATTTTATCTGGGTTACACCCCCCCCCCCCGCATTGAGATTTGGTTATTTGCATTAAAGCAAATAACCCTTTTGAAACTCATAAGCTAATTCAAATTGAACCCACTTAACATATACTGGAGATTTCCTGGGAATGTCATGTGTTATACACAAGGTGACCAGATGAGTGTAGCAATGGGTTATTGAAGCCACGTTTGGAAATTTGAGTGGTACCCTCTCGTATGCGTGGGTGTTTTGGTAATTGGTTTCCTACCACATTAAACGTTGCAGGGGCCTCCTGTAAGAGTCTTGGAGATCAGTCTTTTTCTGATGGTGGGATTGGGGTGCCAGCTGCATGAACATTTGTCTCTAATGGACTCAAATATTGATACTGCATTTGCGGTGAAAATAAATTTAGAACTCTCCACATTCACTTTTAACACCGGTCTTGTAGCACAACCAGTTTTACGTGACCAGTTTAAGCTAGTGTCCCTTGAGATTGGAGATTGGTCCGAGGGATGGTCTTATAGTTGTGAACGTTATACCTTGGGGCCTTACATTTTTTCAAGTCAACAGAGTTGAATACCATTGTAGGTGGTTCTCTGTCCGCTTTTAAAGCTGCCACAGTGTAAAGCGTGTCAGCAATTTCTCGACTACCTACACTGAAGATGGGCCATTGCCTGAAACATCATGCGTGTCCATGTATTTATAATAAGGCAGTGTTAACTACCGTTGTGTCCATAAAAATATATATCTTCGTGCCATCCTGACCCAAAAAGCTGCAACATTTTCCCACCAGGAATGTGCTGTTTAGCAATGTGGTCTACTGGTATATGGCACTTGTCTTTGTCCTGTATGGCACTTGTCTTTGTCCTTTGTGTAAACACCCCTAACTTGAGGGGCCTGCAACTTGGGGCCTGTGACGTGTCCCGGGATGTGGGTTCTTAAGCCCATTAAACAAATTTGTTCGCTTTCACAAGTGGACCGCGACGAATTATAGTTTTCATCCTTTGATATTTAATTTAGAATTAACTTGCAGGTTTATATAAAGCCAGTGATATTTAATTTTTCTATTAATATCCTGGTTTTTTTGACCCCCCCCCCCCCACCATCGGCCGTGCACAGCTTGCAGTGATTACTCGTCCAGCTGGAAAATACAGGGCGGCCCATTCCAAACAAGTTTGTTTGCCCCTAGTCCCTTGGCCCCACCGCACTGTACCGTGGTGTCTTGTTAACACAACTTGCTGTGCACTGGACCAAAAGCCCAAAACGCCAAAGAGCCAGCGACAAACAGAACAGTTGTAATAGATAAGAGTTAACATGGTTAATTGTAATTTTTGGGTTGTACCACATGGTAGTTGTATGCCAAAATTAATGTTATTAACTGTCCACCACCTGACAAGATTGCCACATTTTATCTATACGTGCCAATGGTTTTAGCAAACTTTGACCAATATAGTTCCTCACCGGTGGCTTAAGACTCAGTGAAGTTCACTGGAGTGATACCCATGGTAGTAGTGGGAGACGAGTGAGGAGCCAACTGATCACCGGTGACCAAGTGACTGGAGTAAATTATTGAGTGCTGAATCATCAACCAGAAAGTTCTAGATTTGAAGCTTTCGTGACTGCAAGGATTCATACTCTTAGTTTTTTCGGTAAAGTCACGTAGGTAAAAAATGAAATAAAAATTAATAAAAATAAAACAATAAAATTCACGAGGTTTCGGAGGCAACACAAGTCTCCGTCATCATGGTGGGACCGTCACAGCCAGATTTGCTGTATCAAATCTGGCTGTGACGGTATCAAATCTGGCTGTGACGGTCCCACCTGATGACGGAGACTTGTGTTGCCTCCGAAACGTCGTGAATTTTATTATTTTATTTTATTAATTTTAATTTCATTTTTTACCTACGTGACTTTACCGAAATAACTAAGAGTATGAACCAGAAAGTTTCTTTCTCGCGTTGATGTGGATGAACCCACACCTGTGACCGCTAATGACGCCGCTGTTGTTTTCGCCAAAGATGCGCCATGGTGCGGCCACTGCAAGGCCCTGGGACCTGAGTTCGCCAAAGCAGCCGGCACACTAAAGGCCGAGGGCTCAGCTATCCGGCTGGGCAAGGTCGACGCCACGGAGGAGACCGAGTTGGCCAAGGAGTACGGCGTGCGCGGCTACCCGACCATCAAGTTCTTCAAGGACGGCGACGCAAAGAACGCCAAGGAGTACGCGGGTGAGCACGGGTTGCTGCTGCATCAAGGCGCACAAGTGCCTTCGTGCGTGTGCCTACGTTTGTATCTTTGCCGATATTCGCTGATGACATTGGTTTGTGTTCACGTTTAGAACATTTATCGCATTAACTTTTTCGAGGATTGTCATTGTTCACCCGAAATTTCAATGGAGAAATTGAAGCAATCCACCACACATATCTACATCATGGGACCTCCTTTGCCAGTACCAAAATATACTAATAGGGTTTTTCCCCTTTTTTCTGGCAACAAAACTGACACCTTTTGCAAGGAATCATGCTTACATTAATCACAATACTTGCAGTCAAATGCAAACAAAAAACAATACTCTGATAATTTATGCATTGTCTTTGAAACTGATTGGTCCACACCAGAGACAGCTTTCTTTAGAGCCTCGTCTCATATGGTGTTCGACCAGATGACGCCAAAAGGCGCCTTTTGGCGTCATCTGGTCGAACACCATATGAGACTAGGCTCTAAAGAAAGCTGTCTCTGGTGTGGGCCAAAAGGCGCCTTTTGGCATCATCTGGTCGAACACCATATGAGACTAGGCTCTAAAGAAAGCTGTCTCTGGTGTGGACCAATCGGTTCCAAAGACAATGCATTAATTATCAGAGTATTGTTTTTTGTTTGCATTTGACTGCAAGTATTGTGGTTAATGTAAGCATGATTCCTTGCAAAAGGTGTCAGTTTTGTTGCCAGAAAAAAGGGGAAAAACCCTATTAGCACACATATCTAATATGGACATAGACGTGTAATTTTTTCTATTCATATAGACATGGCTTCGAGAAGACAACTGTGTCAATGACGCGGGGGCGGTGGCACAGATGCTAGCACAGTGCGCTTCAAGCTCGGCAGCCTTAGTTTGATTTCTGGGTGTCTGGCCATGTTGGACGTGGCAGTGGGCTTAGTGTGCGGTTGTGTGTGGGTTGTGTGCGGTTAAGCTGGGCGGCAGGCGGACGACATCGTGAACTGGCTAAAGAAGCGCACGGGACCCTCCGCCACAACTCTGGATGACGCCGCTGCCACCGCCAAGTTCATCGAGTCGGCCGAGGTGGTGGTCGTCGGCTTCTTCAAGGTGCTGCCCCCCCCCCCCGTCCCTCTTTTCCCCCTCCCCACCCGGTCTCACCACCATCGTCATTGCTCTGATTATTCTGGAAATAAACTGCCGCTTACCCGCAACAGCGTTCCATGCAACGCCATTGTCCTTGGAGGAACTAAACCTGCTCGTGGCTGTCTGGCAATCCAGAGCAACTTGGTGCATAACCGCTTTTGAAACGTTGTGGTGGTGATGGTGTTGCGCAAGCAACATGCGCACTGATTGTTTGCACGGTCATGTAGTGATCCTGGAATCCTGGTCCAATATGGCGGCTAGGAGATTTTTGATACCAAACCAGATATCGCTCCTTGCGAAGGTAATTAATACATTCTAGATTTGACGTGTTCGTGACTGCAAGGATCCATACTCTTTGGTTCGTTCGGTAAAATCACGTAGGTGAAAAATAAAAAGAAATAAAATAAAAATAAAATCACGACGTTTCGGGCGCAATACAAGCGGCCGTCATCAGGTGGGGACAACCACAGCAAGAAAACAATTGCTGAAATTCAGCAATTGACTTTACCGAAAGAACCAAAGAGTAATTAATACATACTCTTATTTTGCCTCACTTGATACAGTAAATCTAGCGGTGACAGTCCCACCTGATGACGGAGACTTGTGTTGCCTCCGAAACGTGATGATTTATTATTTTATTTCTATTATTAGTTCTATTATTTGTAAAAAGCACTTATTATTTATTAATTTTTTACCTACGTGCCTTTACCGAAAAAACCTAAGAGTATGAATCCTTGCAGTCACGAAAGCTTCAAATCTAGAAGTAATTAATAAACTTTAGGTATTCTCATTTTCTTCTTTTCGCTTTTATTTTTCAATGTAGGCCGAACTGGTGCATTTTCATGCCACAGACGTGGAACGTGAATGCGTTTGATGGCTCGGTAACAAGCAGCCACGATGCTCAATAGGAGCCATGTAGTTGCATGGTTTCCATGGCACATGCAACAGTGAAGTTGTGTGCGGGAAATCTGCACCGATTGACACCAACGACTCAAATGTCCCCCTCAAGTGGCATCGGAGTCGGTGCATGGGATTAAAATTAAACAATGTACAAAGACCAAAAATAGAACATAAAATACAAATATTTAAATTAAGCATATTTGGAAAGACTCTTTCTGAAATTTGGATACTCTCATTTGCAAGCGTGACCTGGGACATTAGTCTGTCAGCAGGGGGCAATGATATCTAGCTCTAATCCCAATAAAGTAGTTTGCCTGCATAAGGTACAGGACATGTTGCCCACTGCAATTGGACTGAGAAGGGGGAGTTGTATGCAAACGATTAAACGGTGCGGTGCTGTTCCTGCCGCCATCGTGGAGTGTGGTGCCGCGTGGACGCGAGTGCGATCTGTGCTGTGTGGTTGTGGCGCTGCGCTGTCGCGGTGCAAGTGGGGTGCTGTGAAACCATGATGAGTTGTCGGTGTGAGCTGTGTTGGAGGAAGCCCTGTTATGTGGGTGTAACCCGTGTTGCGTTTGTGACCCATGTGCGTACACGAAGCCCGTGTGAGCTGTGTTGTGGCGGTAGTGGGAGAGAGTGAGCCGTGACGTTGTGGTGGTGTTCCCCCACTCAGGATGTGGAGGCTGAGGATGCTAAGGTGTTCCTCAAAGCGGCCGACGGAATCGACGATATCGCCTTCGGCCTCGCGTCATCAGACGACGCCTTCACGCAGTACGAGGTGTCCAAAGAAGGCGTCATACTCTTTAAGAAGGTGTGTACCCCCTCGCTTCCCCTCGTTGGCCCCCACCTCGCCGCCACTGCTCGGGCCGTGCCGGGTTGCACGTAAACACGTGTGCCGTCCTCCTTGGCACGAGCTCACGGCTGTAAATCTTGCGTCAACGACAGGGCTGAAGCGCCTCGAAGCGTGCCGGGGAGTGCTGCGCTGCGTGGAGACTCGTCTTGTTTCTCGTTTGAGGGCTTTCGTGGAAGAACCTGATAACTCGCACATGTGTATTTTTAAGATAACTCGTGCTGGCTTCGTAGGAAGACTTTACAGGCCACTTTTAATAGTTAACATTGCATCATCTGCCCGCACAATGGCTGTACAGTTTTCTTACGCTCCACAAAAGCCTACTGTGTACATGAAGATATGTTGTGTGTTATCTAGTTATTTCAAGACAACCCCTTTGGCACTCTGCATGCATGGCCGCGTGGTTTGTAAGCGTTGGCACTCCACAGCTTTTTCCAGCTCTTCGACGTGATCCCCGCGGTGTTCGTTTGCCGCTCGAGAGGCTCCTGCTTGTGCCCCGTAGCTCCACTCTTCCTCCCCATGGCTCTGCTCGCTTCTCCTCGTTGTCCCTGGTCGTACGCACGCGCTCGTCGCAGGATGGAGGTGTGAGCATGAGGGTGGGCGCTCGGCAACCCCTCTCATTCCCTGCCCCCACCCCGGCATCTCGGCTTGAGCTCATGCTGATGCGAGTGTGGTATTTATACTGCGCGTGTGGCCACAGTGAAACTGATTCGTGGCGTGAATGTAGCGAGCTAACTGGCCTACGTAGCTTGTGATGCGCGCTGCTATTTTGGGGCTGCTGCCATCACTGCGCACAACTTCTTTTGGTAACAACGCGACACATGGGGTCATGGCGACGCAATGTCTTAAAAATTGTTGATGCATTGTGATTCCTAATTTGTTATTGGGTTATGCCACGTAAATGATATGGCCAAATTTGTGTGAAAGACCATCCGCCACCTAAGATGCCAAACAAATGTAATCGTCAGGTGTACAAGTGTTTGATGTGCCAATTATGAATGTGTCAACTCACCGGTAAATTGAAGAACCATTGTCACAACTAAATATAGCAATTAGATACACGACGTTTCGCTTAAAACTACATCCAGTATCCGCAGGAAATGAGATTGAAAAAACTAGGAAATCATAATGCGTAAAGATGAGATTTAAAGATTGCTTTTCCTGCTGGTGTAGCCACGCAGAATTCTCGTCATATGAATTGTCGCGTCGCGAGCTGCGTCTGACGTGCCGTTACGTCGCGTGCTTTCCAGTTCGACGAGGGCCGGAACGTGTACGAGGGCGAGCTGAGCAAGGAAGGCCTGCGCAAGTTCGTGAAGTCCAACGAGCTGCCTCTGCTCATCGAGTTCACCGAGCAGGTGCGAGGCGACGACACCCGCCGGTCGCGCACGGCGATCACGGCACCACCTACCCGACCCAAACCACCCCCCACCACACACCACCCTTCCGTCAAACTAGCTGCTGCTACACCAGGGCGACCATCAACTGCGGTGCCTTTGATATCAGCACGTGATGACTTAGTATGGCAATGGCATAGTCATCGAGCCACCTTGAAAAAAAAAATCGGAATTTAGTTTAATAGTGTTAGATGAGTGACGATTGGTCTGCAGAGCGCACAGCCTCATCTAGTCATGTGACCTCTGTGGTCCGGTTGGAATTTTCCATCCCATTTGGCCACCCACCAGAGGGGAGCAGCGATCAGATTAGTCCAGATTGAACAAATACATCTGTTGCAGCAATTGTGCATAGGCCAATGTTGGTGAGGGTTGCCCTCGGTTACTGGAGGCTCAACTTCCATAGTGACAACTCCCAGGGCTGTGTCAGCACCGAGCACTGCATCGTGGGCACAGATACGCAATTAAGATCGCAGTGAAGAGCACCATCGCATTGCACTTTTAATTACAGCTGCTCGCCGCCTGTTTAATTACAACGTCTAAAAAGATGAGCACCCATGGATTCCATTTTTGTTTGCGAGTCACAAACCGTTACCAAGAGATTGGCTAAAAATAGAGGAACTGGAACGGCAGTTGGCGCTGGGGTGGTGTGGGGTGGAGGTTGGGGGGGGGGGGTTAGGATGCATGTTGCGCTGCGTCGTTTACAAGCGTCTGGAGCCTTCGCTGAAACGTATAGCTTTGCACGGCCCGTGGGGAGGTGTGGCCGTCATCCTGAGTGGGGCAGATTCCTTGCTGTCCCTGACCCCTGACCCCTGCGGCGTACGCATGCCACTTGGCGCGTTTGTGCACCCCGCTCCCCGGTATTCACTGCGTGGAACCCACGCTCCCGAGGGCGCTGCTCGCGAAGTTTTGCTTCGACTCGAAAAGCCGGACATGGTCCAAAATGACGAACATGTCTTTCTTGGTAGCTACCCACGGGCAGGTAATGACAAGTGCATTAAAATCAGTTCTTGCGCTCATGGTACTTGTGTATCCATTCATGTGCGTGCAAGAATGATTGATAAAGAAATGTACGCGAATGAGATGCCCATCTTACGTTCAGGCTAGCGGAGCAAGAGAAAAGAGGCTGATGTACACATGCGAAGACAACGAGACGCAAAATAATTTGTACTTGAATTGTGACGTCAAATAACCGCGAGGGAGGGCATCAATAGTTGCGGGCCTAGCGACTCCACTCTTGATCTGGGACGATTCAATTACCTGATGATTAGAACATTTAACCGGCTTTCTCCCATTCTGTCGAACAGAGTGCATTTTGGTGACTTTTTAAATTTCCTGCATAATGCATGGGCACAATATGACTTTGAAACTCCCCAGCCCACCTCCTACGCATTTCACATAAATATGCTAAATTCCTCTTGAGATGCAAATTGTTTTGTCAAGGCGCTCTTCCCCCCCTCCAACCCAGCTTAAAAAGACGCTCCAAGCCTGGGGTTGTCATTCAGACTCTGTCTTCTCGACAGACCTGTTCTTCACCTGAGGACGGCTGCTTGCGTTGTGGTCGAAACGTCGTGAGAATTATTTTATTATGTTTTATTTTTATTATTTTATTACTTCCCTTCTACGTGACTTTACCGAAAGAACCAAGAAGATTTTTTTTAAATTGTTGAAAGTTTCTCTTTAACACGGCAATGAGTAATACAGAATTAACTCGGTCCCTTTTTAAAATTGGTTGCAGGAAAAGCATTTATTAACATAAATGTATCCTGTGTCTTCAATGCATTGCGACTTTGACCGGACACGGTGGATGTCTGCCCTGCCTCGTTGGCTCCAAACGCCACGTGAAAAGCCGGAGCCAACCATTTAAAAACAAAATTGCTCTCGCTGCACTTTGGTCGGCAGTATTCGCTCCTGACTTCTCCTGCCATCCCGTCTGAGCCGAGAGGTGAGCAGAGGCTTCACACGCGCTTACCGTTTACACGCGCCTACCGATTGGACGTGCCTACTGATGATACGCCACGTGCCTACCGATTACACGCGCCTACCGATTATACGCGCCTACCGTTTACGTAATGTCTCGTTTGTACCTTGTCCCATATTGTTTGTATCTTCCATACTGTTTTGTAGTTTTTGTGCACTTCTGTGCTGCTCATTGTGTACTCCTCCCGTCTTGTACCGTCTCCTCTTGTCTTCTGCTCTCTTCTCTTGTACTCTTTTTTTACTTTCTCATATGCGCGGTCTCGTCTGTGCCATATTTTGAAAAATTAATTTATTCATCTATGCTGGAATTCTCATCCCATTTGGTTAATTCAATTCTGGGTCCATCAAATAGCCCATCCACCTGCGCCACGTAATTCCGGACATGAACATAACTTTTGCATGTCTTTGCCATGAACCTTGAATGTCGTTTGTTGAATTGGACATAATCAATTTGAGATTAATTAGAAAAATCCTAAATTCGAGCCCAGCTGTGTACAATGTTACACGATCGAGTTTTGTTTGTTGTTGTTTGGGATTGTTCAGAAAAGCATGAGATCACGGAAAGTGATGTCACTAGAGTGTTTAGTGTGATAACACGTTACATTGTTACAGAGTGTAAATATAAAATTATTCATCAGAAACTCATCGCTTGTGTCTATAACGAAAACTAAACACGTTTGTCAATAACAGTATAGCCTTAAAAAGAAAACAAAACTATAATGGCCGATATTTCGTGCAATGGCCCGTTTTCATTCCACGTTATTTATAAAGTTTCTTTTCCTGTATCTCAATCGTTTGCCTGTGCGGTTCATTAAATAACACGCTGCATGGGATAACCACCGTTCACCAGAGCAGAGGAATACATCGCACATCCAGCCCCCCCGCGTTGGTGTGAAGCAGCACCACAGCGTGAGTGCGGGTTACACCTGGCCTCTCTAGCCTGGCACGGCGTACCACCCAGTGATCGCTCGCTACAGTGCAGCCTCGTTAAAGGTTTCTGTCATCGGAGGCTCCCCGTCGTTAGCGGCCGTATGGATGGAAGGACAAATGCTTTGACGAATAATGGGCCAGGCGGAGATGCGTGATAACTGCCGGCGGTTGTCACTGCCCACGTGTCTGCCTCGTGCGTCCGTCACTGTCCGCGTGTCTGGCTGTCATGGGATGGTTGAGCGCGAGCGTCGCCGTCCTCGCCGAGGCATCTGGATCGCGGCCCCCACCGCGGTCCGACCTGCTGAGCCAGGCGGCCAGTTTCGGCCCTCGCTCGCAAAACGCCCGCCCACTCTCTTGCTCTCGCGGAGGGCATGCCGGTGTGTGACCGGTCACGAGCCTCGATCAGCTGTCATTTGTCGCGCGCTCGCCGGCGTCTTCCGACTACGCCGCTGTTGTTCGCCCAGCTCCGCTGTACCGGACGGCGGTGAATGCGTTCGTTCTCCGGCCTGTGGTCGGCACCGAAAAGCAGAGATCCTTGCGGTGAAAACCATTTTAAAATTAGCCCGCGTTTTAGCGCCGCTGCTAAAAGGGGAAATGCTTTTTGTGAAATTGGTTTTGCAGATATAAATAAAGAACCCATTATCTGGGCAGTGCGTCGAGTCTGCCTCGCTTCTCACGACGTTCATTTAATTTATCTCGACGCTCAAAGTGAAAGTTTGCTTCCAGAACACAATCGAGTGGGAGGGCGGGCGGGTAGTCCAGCGAGGGAGCACCGACCCCATGACTTGAATTCCCCGTGACTAAAGGTTGATGTCAGCCATTGCCTGGGATTTAATTTTAGGGCGAGGGTCGGGTGTCTGTTTTGCCCTTCCTAAAGTTTCCATTTCACAGGGGTGCGCCGGGTCAATGCTACACCCCCACTCGGGGCTGCGTTCCTGTCCCTCCCAGCGCCGCTCCCATGATTGAATACCGTGGCCAGAAATGATTTAATCACATAACGAGCAATCTGATCCGTGGGCGGTCAGCACGGGCTGGTTTTAGATCGTGGCGGGAATGTGTGTGTGTGTGTGTGTGGTTAGCTCTGTCGACCGGCTGCTGGCCGTGTTTGTGTTTGCGTGTCGTGGCTTTGGACGTGTAAATGTTACGCGCGTGCAGTTTTGGCACGACGTGTTGCGCGTACTGCGCGTGTCTGTAATTGTACGCCACTTACCAGTATTTCTAATGCAGTCAATTAAAAGAATGAGACACCGTGGATACAATGTTGCTCTGGGACCACGTTGTTCCTGACACCTCAGCCCCACGCTGCTCCTAACATTAAACTTGATCCTCGAGCTGACAATAAACGTGTCATACCGTGCGTCTGTGAATAAATTATTCGTGATTTTTGTGGATTCTATGCGATCCAGTTTCTTTTTCCTTCGAAACGCGTCGATGTATGTTTGTATGTGAAACTTAACTCGCACCGTGCGTAACCAACCGTGCTCATTGGAGGTGCGAGGGAAGGACAACAAACGAAACACAAAAAGCAGTTCTAGAGAATTTAGTTTTCAATCCAGATTTATAAAGTGCATAACTCTAGTGGCTTCCTAATATCGGAAGGAAGAGCTTTCCAGACGGCCGCAAACACACCTGAAAGCGCACGATGCAGTGATCATCTTTATTCTATGGCTTGCCAGTCGGGTAGCAGTTCCATGGTAGACACTGCTAAGATGCCTGCAGCGATGGATACATGTGGGTCATACTTTCAAAGCGGTGGGCCTCATGTGGCCACAGACCTTGTGGAATTAAGTTGTGGGCCTGCCATAAAGGATCGTGTTTTGTGTGGGTTTGTCCCTGTGTGTCCCCCCCCCCCCCACCTTACCCTCTTGGCCCTTCACAGAGTGCTCCCAAAATCTTCGGTGGAGACATCAAGAGCCACATCCTCCTCTTCGTTGGGAAGTCGTCCTCCGACTACGACGAGAGGCTCGACCAATTCCGCGGAGCCGCCAAGGAGTTCAGGGGGGAGGTGAGGCCCCTGCTCCCTGTGACCCCCTCCGTTGTTATGTCACCATGTCACCCTGGTCCCCGTGGCACCCTGGTGCCTCTTGATACCTACCCAGGTACCTATATCACCTACCATAGTCTGTGTTATCTCTTGCCTCTGTTGGAAATTTATTTGTGATGTTGACATTTTCCTTTGCTTTTGCATCTATTTATATTCCAATTCTGCTATTGGTGTCATGTCAGTGCACCCTCTTCGTCACAAAATGGTCCCAGAATGTAACATCACAGAACTACCATTGAAGTCAGTCCAGTAGATCTCTTTATCTGGGCTGAGACCTGTGACTCGCTACGCCCTTTAACCCAATGTAATTACAACTCAATGTATATGGGTGTTGTGGTGGTGAGACGGTATCTGCCTCGTCTGGTATGCAGGAGTTCGTGGGTTCGATCCCGACCCTGACGCCTGTATATTTGAAGTTTGTGTGTTCTCCCCGCGGCCGTGTGAATTTTTCTCCAGGTCCTCCAGTTTTTACCTCCACATTTATAAACATGCCTTTGAATTATTTGGCTGCTATAGATTTACACGTGATAAGCCACTTCGTTGAGCTATTATTAGTGGCCAAGTCGCTTCTGAAAAATAGCTGATAGCTCCCGTGAGCTTTATCTGGTGAAATGAATTATTTTAATATATAGTTTTAGTTTAGTAAATCTGTGGGTCTCTGTGTAAGTCTTGTTGGGCTGAGACCTTCAACTCGTCACACTTGAGAATCCGGTTTTATCACTTGCAACTAAAACCCAAATTCGGACCCCACGTCCGAGTGGTGCTGTATCGGTGTCTGACATCAGAGCCACGTGTGTACCTCTAATAATAATCACAACAATCACTCCTTGTATAATGCACACGATTATTCATGGACATAAATGACAGTGAATCGAGGCTCTGAGCCAAACTCCACGTCACTTGAAAGCCAGGCGAGAGGTGTGGTGCTAATAGGGTTTTTCCCCTTTTTTCTGGCAACAAAACTGAGACCTTTTTTTTACGAGGATTCATGTCTGCATTAACCACAATACCTGCAGTCAAATGCAAACAAAAAACACACGATGATAATATATGCATTGTCCTTGAAACTGATTGGTCCTCACCAAGGGACGGCTTTCTTTTGAGCCTTGACCCAATTGGTGCTCGACCAGAGGACGCCAAAAGGCGTACGGCTCACAGACAATGCACTATCAAAGTAATGAGGGCTCGGAGTGAGCATCTACATCATTGGACCTCCTTTGCCAGTACCAAAATATAATACTAGGGTTTTCCCTTTTTTTTTGCAACAAAACAGAATCCTTTTTTACGAGGATTCGTGTCTGCATTAACCACAATACCTGCAGTCAAATGCAAACAAAAAAACACACGATGATAATAAAAAAGGTGTGGTGCCGTTAAGTCTCTCTTAAATGTTAGTGTACTTGGAACGCCGCTACGAATGTGCAGCGGTGGATAATGGCCACGTTCCAGACTGTGGAGGCTGCCACGGAGAGACCACGCCTGGCAGCGATGGTCCTGGTCTTGTCCGTCATTTAAAGCAGTACACACATTTTAACAAAAATACATCTCTTGAGATGTTTTGCCAAAACAGCATGGACGAGAATAATTAAGGAGGTCCAGCCAAAGGAGTGAACGTGCCAGATGAAACTGGCTCTTTCGTGCAGGTGCTGGGTGGATTGTTAAGTATAAGACCCCGAGGGACGGTGACAACTTGGATTGACCGTGGATAATTGATTTGCTCGCGATCCCAGTGGGCCCCCCCGATCTCCGTGCCACCTTTGCCCCCCCCCTCGTCTCACTCTCCCCCCGTGTGACGTTTCTCCCGTGCCCTGAGCAGCGCCTACACGTGGCCTGCCCCTTGGTCCCATAAAAACAACAACGTGGCTGCGAGAACAGCTATTATTATCCAACCACCCCCTCACCCAATTCTTCCGAGAGAAAGGGACTAAATTCCAGCCGCCGTGGCTGAGACTACCATCAAGCGTTTATTGCGGTGCAAGGTGAACGTCGCTCGTAAAGAAACGTGTGTGACCTGCCCTCATTCTTCTGGCTGGAGGTTTGGAGGCCGCGTGCCAGGAGGGAGGTTCCCTTGAGTTCTCTCGTTTTCCCCACTTTTATCTTCGTGCGTAGGCGTCGTCGGGGGCGTGACACCACGTCGTTTCTCCGATTTAAATGTCGGCCCTTAAACCCGTGCACCTGAACGCGCATGTGAAAATATATTGTGAGGGTTTGGGAGCTCCTCGTGCAATCCAGCCCAGTTTTAAATCCAGGACGGATCGTAGGCAGGCCGACTTGAATGCTTCAGCCAGGATGTAAGGACGAGCAGGATGCTGTAGCCGCCACTAGGAACTCAACAGCCGCCTCTCACGCACGTGTCCCCGTGTCCACCTGCAGATCCTCTTCATCTACATCGATGTGGACAACTCTGAGAACCTGCGCATCCTGGAGTTCTTCGGGCTGAAGAAGGAGGAGTGCCCCGCAGCGCGCATCATCATGCTGGAGGAGGAGATGTCCAAGTACAAACCTGACAGCAACGACCTCAGCACGGAGAACCTCATTGCTTTCTGCAGGTCCTTCCTCAACGGGGCGCTCAAGGTACTGCTCTGAGTGGTGGGGGGGGAGGGGGGAGGAGTTGCGGTGTTAGGGGTGGTGGGGAATTTTGGCAGCGGTATTACTCAGTTGAGCTGCTGGGTCGGGTGGGTTGGGTTGCCGCTGTGAGGGAAGGGTGTTGAACAGTCACACCCTGCTCTTCACACCGTCTTCCACACTCGACTGTCCACTGTTGGTTGGGCGCGGGGGAGGGAAGGCGTGGTGTGTCGACTTGAGCCGTCTCTCACGAACGCCTCACCCCCACCCCACAATCTCCTGTTACCCCCACCCAGGCGCACCTCATGAGTGAAGACATCCCCGAGGACTGGGATAAGAACTCCGTGAAGGTGCTCGTGGGGAAGAACTTCGAGCAGATCGCCTTCGACGAGAGCAAGAACGTGTTCGTCGAGTTCTGTACGTGGCCCCTCCCCCACCTCCCACACTCGCACGGCATGGTGGTGGGACATCACGAGAGGTCCCGTAGTGGGGTGGTAGGTTGATACAGTGGTTAGGGTGACACGTGGTAGGATATCACATGAGTCCCGTAGTGGGGTGGTAGGTTGGTGCAGTGGGTAGGGTGACACGTGGTAGGATATCACGTGAGTCCCGTAGTGCGGTGGTAGGTTGATACGGTGGTTAGGGTGACACGAGATAGGATATAACATGAGTCCCGTAGTGGGGTGGTAGGTTGATACAGTGGTTAGGGTGACGCGTGGTAGGATATCACATGAGTCTCGTAGTGGGGTGGTAGGTTGGTGCAGTGGGTAGGGTGACACGTGGTAGGATATCACGTGAGTCCCGTAGTGCGGTGGTAGGTTGATACGGTGGTTAGGGTGACACGAGATAGGATATAACATGAGTCCCGTAGTGGGGTGGTAGGTTGATACAGTGGTTAGGGTGACGCGTGGTAGGATATCACATGAGTCTCGTAGTGGGGTGGTAGGTTGGTGCAGTGGGTAGGGTGACACGTGGTAGGATATCACGTGAGTCCCGTAGTGCGGTGGTAGGTTGATACGGTGGTTAGGGTGACACGAGATAGGATATAACATGAGTCCCGTAGTGGGGTGGTAGGTTGATACAGTGGTTAGGGTGACGCGTGGTAGGATATCACATGAGTCCCGTAGTGGGGTGGTAGGTTGGTGCAGTGGGTAGGGTGGCACGAGGTAGGATATCACATGAGTCCCGTAGTGAGGTGGTAGGTTGATACAGTGGGTAGGGTGACACGTGGTAGGATATCACATGAGTCCCGTAGTGGGGTGGTAGGTTGAATGTGGTTAGGGTGGCACGTGGTAGGATATCACATGAGTCCCGTAGTGGGGTGGTAGGTTGATACAGTGGTTAGGGTGACGCGTGGTAGGATATCACATGAGTCCCGTCGTGGGGTGGTAGGTTGGTGCAGTGGGTCGGGTGGCTTGGTGATAGGGTGGCAGGGTGGCACAGTAGTACAATGGTAGAGGGTGGTAGGGTGGCAGGGTGATCCAATTGAACACCCTTAAATGTGCCCCATGTGCACATACCTGCTCTTGCCCCTCCTTCCCCTCCCACCCCTGTGCACCCCTGCCTGCCCCAATAGGTCACACGCATGGGTAATGATACTCCACAGCGTTAAATGTCACACAACACAAATAGCGTTTGGGCCAGTGGTGCTCGGGTGGGCGTTTTGGGCCTTACCTGGTAGAATAAAAATAGTGTAGTTGTATTCGCTCTGCAATGAGTAAATACGTGGCGTCTGGCTCGACAATGATGCTGGAGATGTCCAGCGTATGCCAAGGATGTGCTTGTGTCACTTTGAGCTGAATAGAAGAAACAAATCTGTATGAACGAGACCAAAGAAAAACGAGAAGCACCAACCAGAGGTCGCAAACGGGTTTTGATTCCTTACCCGTAACCGTACCCGGCCGCACCAGGGTCGCAAACGGGTACCCGTACCTGGCCGGGTACGGGTAGCCGGGTATCGGGTAGGGTACGGGTATCGGGTACCCGGTTGCGACCTCTGGCACCAACACAAACGAGATGGTCAACACGACAAAAAAGCGATCGATTCTTGAGTAAAATTGCCACCGTGAATTATAACAATTTAGAAAATAGCTGGAAGGGGGTCGATCATCTCAGGCCTTGCGTTTAGGATGGCAGTATCCTTCAAACAACCATCGCGTTGCATCACTCGTTTGGCTGCTGCTCACAGCTGCGCCAGCAGGGCGTTTCTGGTTTCCCACGCCGCTTATGGCGACCGTTCCCAAGGTTCCCTCCACTGCGTGAAATTGGGACTCGTGCCGTCGATCGAGGTTTGCGCCGAATGGCATTGGCGCCAGCTGTCATGGGGGGCCAGGCTTCGTCGCCCGTCTCGGCGCGAACCCGGGGAAGGGCGGGTGAAGGGTGGTGCGGTGAGAGCCAGCCCTTCGCCATGTGACCATGCCACTGACGGACCGCGCCATGTTTGGCGCGATCCGCTGTTACCGCCACGGCCACCACTGCCGATGGGTTTTACCGACAGCTGGGCACTGCCAGGCGCAAATTCCTGTGCGAGAGTAGTCAGCAAAGTGAGATCGATTTCATCTTAAATTGTGGGCGACGCAGCGCCAAGTGTGATATTCAGATGGAGTGCAGTCAGTCCGGTTAGTGTCATCAGATTCGGAGTGGAGGGTAGAGTTTGCGGTGATTGTGGTTGGTAGTGAAGAGTGTGCTTCTGGGTCAGGGCCAAAGAGGGTGACCGAGTAGGTACGCTGGCTGGCAGGGGAGTAACAATGCTTCGATTCGACTAGTCTGGTGGATTCCTACGTTCGCCGTACTCTTATCGAGTCATGTGACTGAGACAATATAATCTTTGCTATTGGTGGATTGATACTTGTTGGCAAATGCCGCAGCACTCAAGAAACGTTGAGGCTCACGGAAGCGCTGAACACTCCGAACAAGATGGAAAATAACAAAGTTTACAAATAATGCAGCATCAATCTTGTGACAATAAATCCTCCCTTTGTCTGTAAGTGTTTTAGATTTGGCGTGCAGGTTATGACAGATCATAACCGTGTGTTAAATTGGCTTCCCCTTACAGCAGGGTATTTTATATGCCCAGTCAGATCATGAATTTTGGCATTTATCTCTTATCCAATATTAATCCAATTTCATTTTACGTTTTACTGTAATGTGTGCTAGGTTACTGGCAAGCTGCCCTGATGTTTGATGTTGCCTCCACATTATTTAATATAGTTTATCCTGTACAACATTTAGAATTGCTTATAGCATTGAGATACTATATAAATTGACATTCTTATTATAATGAATGGGATTGATGGGGCGGCGAGTTAGTTACAGGCCTGGGCACCAAGTCAGGTCTTCCTGAGAGAGAGAGGTGTGTGTATGGAGCCCCCCCGAGTTGGGGTGACCGAGTTAGAACCCTGGCGAGCGACGCGGCGTGTGCCGTTGCCCACAGACGCCCCGTGGTGCGGCCACTGCAAACAGCTGGTGCCCATCTGGGACGAGCTGGGGGACAAGTTCAAGGAGGACGACAGCGTGGTCATCGCCAAGATGGACTCCACCGCCAACGAGGTCGACGGCATCAAAGTGCACAGCTTCCCCACGCTCAAGTTCTTCCCCGCCGCCGCTGGCCGCAAGGTACGTCGCCCTCCGGGCCACGCCGCACTGGATTTTTACTGGGCGCTCGCAAACACCACTTGGCCGTGGTGTTCTTGTAAGGATGAGTGTCACCAGACAGGCGGGGAGATCGTCTCTGCGAGTGCGTGTGCGAGTTAGCGGAGAGCGGTGGCGTAGCAGTTAGCACGTTGGGCTACGAGCCCGGCCACCCGGGTTCAATTCCCGCTTGTGGTGGGCACGTGTGACGATTATCTGAACCGGTCCTGGGCCTCCCCTAGGTCGACTCTGCCTAAAATGAGTACCTGGCACGGTGTGTAAACATCGCCACTCGGGAGACGGAGGCGGCCGGGCGTGGTGTTAGCCACCCCACCTCCATTGTGTGTCGCATTGGCCTTCATAGGTGTTACTCGGCTAACAGTACTTGCTCCTACAGGCTATACGGGGGGGATCTTTACCATTGTATTTACGTGCGTATGTGCGTGTACCTCCACCGCAGGTCGTAGACTATAACGGCGAGCGGACGCTGGACGCCTTCGTCAAATTCCTGGAGAGCGGAGGCGAGGGTGGCGCCGGCGAGGACGTGAGTTGACCCCCGACCCACGGGCGGCAGGGTGGCAGGGTGGCGCGGTGGGAACACCTGCGCGCCCCGTAGCAAGAAAGGGCCCGGGTTCAATTCCCGACTCGGGCACTTTTCTGCGTGGAGTTTGTTTGTTCTCCTATACTGCAAGGGTGCCTGTGCATAGATTAACAAAAACCACACACAATGTAAATGGTATTGGCCAAAATATCCCCAATGATGAAAAATTAGCTGCAAATGACTCCATTGCAAAAACTGGCTCGGTGATGGATTCAAGGGAATGGGGGCGGTCCCCCCCCACCTCCAATTAGCACGGTTGGCTACGTATGGTACGAAAGAAGTTCTACATATATACTACCTCTTGAGACCCTGAAAATTGGCACATTATTGAAATTTACCATAGACTGTTTTTGTATTATTGCAGGGCCCTAATTTAAAAAGGTAAAATTTCAGAACCGTTGGCAAATCTGGAAACATTATTGTAACTCCTGGCCATGGCCAACGACAGTCGGCGAATATCTGCACCGGTCTTGGTTCTTGCCCAGGTCAGCGCTGGGGGTGACGAGAGGCGTGGTGCTGGCCACACAGTGCAGGGAAATTCAGTTGAGCAGCACTATGCTCCAACCCGCACTGACCAGCGCGCTGACGTACGGTCGGTTAACCCCGACGACCTGCGGCAGCAGCCTAGGCCGTGAGGGTTAGCGCAGATGGTGGTAATGACAAGGAGGGTCGTGCGTCTACAATGGGGGGGGGTCCCCTGTGATTACCACTTGAACGGCTGGTAAACACGGAGAGGAGGGGCGGCTGGAAGCATTGACGCTGCCACGCGCTCATACCGCCCCATGCGGTGCAGGGATGATTGGTGCGTGGGGGCCAGGAGGAGGGAGTTGGGGAGGGGCCTGGCGAGGAGCAAAAACTGGGGGGTAGCGGGGATATTGGGATATGGGGGTATAGGTGGAAGGAGGGGGGGGCCCTGGTGAGTTGAGGGGTTTGGGGGGGGGGGGACTTGGACACGAAGCACCAAGGGTCGGCCTCGCGTGCGGCGCGTGGGTCCATTCCTTGTGCGTGTGACAACACGAACCCATTCCTGAGCATGTGCGCTCGCGTATGTGCTTGTATGGGGTCGACTCGTGTTTATCAAATCCCTGGTGCAGTGTGTAAACATCAGCACTGGGGAGACTAAAGCAGCCATGGGTTGGGCGTGTTCGCACATTGCCACCATCAATGCCCTCGTGCCAGGCTAGGTGCACTGTGAGACATGCCGTGCCCGCCTTCATAGGTGCTACTCACGAATAGCACTTGCTCCAATGGCGGCATGTATGTGGTTTACATAGGGGATCTTCGTGTGTGGTGTGTGCACGTGCCTGTCTGTGTCCAATTGTGGCTTGTGCCTGGACCTTAAATTGCTAATGATCTCAGAATTAGTTCTGCGATGTCCGACTCCATGGGCCGTTCTGTAACGTGAAGTGATGAACTGCTCTGTGAGAGTTTGGAATGGATTCTTCGTCTCATCTCTTGACACCGATAGCACAATCAGGGGGATGAAGTTGGCGAATAAGTAAAAATAATGAAATTAAATCTTAAGACTGGTCAACAGTGCTGTTTGAACGGGCGTCGAACGCCACCGACACTGACCTTCCTGTCCCCCTTAACCCCTGACCTAGGAGCTGGAGGATCTGGAGGAGGTGGAAGACGACAGTGATGACGTGGAAGCAGAGGACACCATTAAAAAGGACGAGCTGTAGGCCCCCACGGGGCCCCCCATTTTGTATTGAACCTCCCCCTCGTGTGTATGTAAATGTTAGGCCATGGATGTCAAATGCAAAACCCACACCCCTCTTACTGTGCCGTGCTTCAGCCTGTCCAGCCTAGGCCCTTAGTGCCTGGGAATCGTCGCCACCACCACCACCACCACCGTCCCCCGTGACGCCGTCGACCTGGTGTCGGGTCTCTCCGTTGCTTTTCCCCCGCTGGGCTGGCAAGACGCGTCGCCAAGCCACGTCTGGCCCCTGCCCGCCACGTGTTTCCCCGCGTGGCGTCGGAGATGCCTCCTTGTAAATGAATTCCACGGATTGGGCGCGCGGACGCAAAGTGTCTAGAGCTCGCGGAAAATCCTCGGCGCCCGTTCCCGTCTGCTTTAAGAGAAGAAGAAATCCGAGTCTCTTTTTTTTATTTGTACTGATTTCCTGCGGGGTCTGTTTTGGGGTTTGCCTTCCACCAGGTAATTATTTTTTTATGATTAAATGTAAAAATGTGAACGCTCTACGGAGTGTGGGCCACGTCTGGTGCCCGTCTCCCAATCCGCGGCCTCCCTGGGCATTCCCACCGATTCTTTTCGATTTAACAATCCCTCAATCCCCTCGAGCTTTCAATCCCTTGGCCTCTGTGGCTTCCCGAAAGGAGTTGCCACTGCCTGTGGTTGGTTGAGTGAAACGCCGCGTGCTTCGTATTTTGTAAACGTCTCTCTGCTTTCCCTTACAACCGAGTGAAAGTTTAACGCGCGCGCGGTGTTCCACACGACCGGCTGCTGACCCTGGTGATGGATCGTAGTGGAGCCCTTCTCTCGGCCTCCAGGCGTTGCTTGATGCCACCTAAAAACGAATTACTGCGGAGTGGAATGCTCCACACAGCTCCATATCTGCTCCGCCCCGGAGGGAGAGGTGCGGGGAAGACGCGGGTCTCCATGGAGGCAGCGTTTGGCTGCTAATTTAACAAGTTGGACTAATATAAAACTCGCTTACCTACCCCGTCTCACCGTGCTCTACCCCCTCGCTCACTGCGCCTCTCTTGTAAACTTTGTAACAGCGCAGAAACTTCTGGCTAGGTTGCGGGTGTTGTCCGGGTGTTGTGTGTTCATTATGGCTGTGCCGTCTGTCCAGGTGTGTTCAGGGATGTGTGCGGGTGTGTCTTTGCGCTTGTTTGTGACTGTACCTCCGTGCTTATACACACGTGTGTGTCTGTACGTGTACCTGTCTTTGTACCAGGTGTGTGTGTGCGCGTGTGTGTGTGTGCGCGCCACATTGGCCCGTGTGTACCCGTGCGCGTGTACATGGCAGTAACTTGAGGCGGGTTACGTCGTTGTAGGGAGCGTAGGGGGGGGGGGTTGGGGTGGGGGTCGCTGTTCGCGATGCAAATAAAAGGGAACAGCAACAACGACATCACGTGTCTCGCTTCTCGTGCTTTCTTGCCGGGCTTTCAGTTGCCAGGGTTTGATTTCACGTGACTTTGTTTCTCCCAGTTTTACGTATCGCTTGGTGTCGCTCATCACGTGGTTGTGTTCCACAGTGGTGGTTTTATCTCGCGGTTTATTCCCACATCGCCTACGACGCACCGGACCAGACCTCGTCGGGTCTCGGAAGCGAAGTCTGATTGAGCCTGGACTTGCCACACACACACAGGTGTGGTGGCCACACACACAGCTGTGGCTGCTGTGAGGGCACGTGGTGTTGTGCCACAGGGCAGTGCACAAAAAGCCATTGCTGGGCTGTTTGTCCATGCGCTGACCAAGCCTCGGGGAGACACGCGAGGGCCTTGCCTGGCCTGGCCTGGCCCAGAGGAGAAAGATTTCCGATGGTTTGAGTGAACGGGGATTTGGTTTATGCAAACAGTCGGCCGAGCTGGACGCTGTTGCTCTTGTAAGCGAGTCTGAATCTTTATTTAGACTGGAGGAATCCGATGAGTTATGACTCTTTTTCACAGATGTCCAGTATGAGGGTGGGTCAACAACTTAAAACGGAAAACAAAAACGATAGGAGTGCAAAACAGAAAAGGGTGAGCTAGTCACTTTAAAAGTAAATTGTCAGATTTATCTACAGTTGGGCAAGGCAGTAAAAACAACCAAACGGTCCCAGGCCACAAAGAAAAAACACGGTAAATAAAAAATAGGACCTTTAATATTGAACTATCGATAGTTCAATCAAAGTTACAAATCGCATTTAGAAAATCATCATCGTGTCGAGAGTCTTGCTGTGAAAAGGAGACGGGAGAGAGGTTCAGGATTGGAGCTCGGCACGCAATGAAGCCATCGCTCCCTTTTCATGCTGCAAAGATCGCTCCAGTTGTTGCAAAGCTAAAACCACGACCTCCCCAGGCTTTGACGAAGACCGCTTCTGTCGCGATCGAAACGTCGCGGGTTATTTTTGCTTTAATTTTAGAATTTATTTTTCCTAAAATTTTAATTTAAGTAAATTTTTTATTTTCTATCTCCGTGACTTTACCGAAAGAAGCAAGAATATGGATGATATTGGTCGCGAAGGCCTACTACTGCCACGTGTGTGTCTATCCCCCACCCCCCGCGCCCGAGACACCAAACCCTTATGAGGTCAACCATCCCGGACGGAGACCACCGCACCGACCCGGCATTGAGTATCGAGACTCCGTGCGGCTTTCTTGAGTAAACAGAGCGCCAGGATGATTATTTATGATTATTATTGGAACAGATAAACTTTAAACAAAGTCCTGGGGGGGGGGGGGGGTAGAACCCACGACCTCCCCTCTCCCCTCCGCCCGCCATCCCTCACCCCCGCCCCACAGCCGCTAATTTGAGCGAGGAACGCAGTCAACACGAGCCCTGGACCCCCCCTGGGTCTCGGCGGAGGGGCTCCCAGCATCTCTCACAGTGCACCTAGCCTGGCACGAGAGCATTGATGGTGGCAATGTGCAAACTCGGAACCTTGTCCACGCTGGGGAGATCGGGGTAGTGCTCGGGTCACGGGGGGTACGGAGGATTAGTGCTCGGGCTAGAGATAGGTGTACTGTTCGGCGTAGCATTAGGGGTGGTGATAGAGGTTGTGGATAGGGTTCAATTTCAAGTTATTTATATTAACATTGCGTCACGTAATATTAAAATACATCTGCGCGCATGATGATGATGATGAAATGGATCACCCTCACCACGCTCACCAACAACAACCGCCGTTCACCACCACCACCACCACGTGGCGGTAACGGCACGACGGCGCTCGTGCCATGCTAGGTGCACTTTGAGGCCACGTGAAGTGTCAAAGGGCCCCCTGGCAAGGAGGTCACGGAACGGACCCAGGTGCCGTGGGTTTGACCGACCGAGATGGCCGGGCAGATGCATCGGCCGCGCTCCCCACTGCGCCAACTTGCTGCGGGATTTTATTTTTTCCGCCAGAGCGCTCGTTGCTGTGAGCTCTCGCTCTTCTGCCCTCCGCCGTTGCTGGAGGGCGACTGCCTCCAACTCCACCAGTAGCTTCCTTCACGAGCCTCTCCTCCACAGTTATCGGCAAGGCCACTCAGCTCCGCATCCTCCTGCACCGCATCAGCTGCCGTCCCTTCTCCAGCGCCGTGCCCGTTTAGCTCCCCTCTATCCGGCCGAACAGAAGCTGCTTGGTCGTGCGGTGTCGTCTGGGCCATGGCGAGCTCACCCTGCTCATCCTCACAGCGCTCACCCTCACTCACCCTGACCGCGCTCACCCCACGAAACCACATTCACACCTTTATTGACGACGAAACTCTCTCTCCCAACACCCCTCCCACCACTCGTACTCACCCCACGAGCTCACCACCCTCAACCCATCCCCTCTCTTCCCCTCTCCCCCCTCCCCTCCGCATCCCCCGCGGCGTTCGCGCTACTCTCGCTCCATCATCGGCGTGGAGTTCGTGCCGCCCTCCCCCCACCTCCCCCCACCCCCCGTTCTGGCCCCCCTATAAGAGGGGACCTGACCCCGCCTGCCCGGGAGAGGGGAGCTAGGGGGTGCGGGCAGCGAGGATCGCGCACAGGAGACGAGAGGAGAGAGCGACTCGACGCGCTCTCGGAGCGACGCTTTTGTGATTTGTTGTTGTTGTTGTTGCTCTGCTCGGAAATATATTTGCTTTAACACAAAACAAAACAACATTCGTCGGAGTCAACTCCCGCAGCAGCAGCGGCGGCGGCGGCAGCGGCTGCGGGAACAGAAAGAGCAGCGGCAACTCAAGGATCGTCAGTGTCATCAGCAGGACCATCATCATCATCAGCAGCAGCAGAAGCAGGGACATCAATCAGAAACAGCAGCGCAATTATCAGCGTGCTGCAGCAACCCAAGGCAGCGGGAGCAGCAGCAGCGGCAGAATCATTATCTGCAGAGTCATCCTAATCAGCAGAATCATCATCATCAGCATCATCAGCCGGTGAGATGGCGCTCTACCTGGGCGTACGGCAGTACCACGTCATCGGGGATTACGGCGCTCGCTTCTCGTTCCTGAGTCGCGGGGGGGACTCGGGACTCAATTCCCCGGGGGGCAGGAAGAAGACCAAGGGGACCGGCTCTCGACGCGGCTCGGTCGCCTCCTCGTGCGGCCCCCGAGCGCACCGACTCCCCCGCGCCGCTCAAGAGCGTGCGATTCACGGCCGACGTGGAGTTCCTTGACAACGTGAGGCAGGGAGACGTGGAGCAGGTGGAGGCTTTCGTCAAGGGCGGGGAGCTCTCCCTCGACACCATCAACACGTCCGGTAGGCATCTCTCATCGCCCCGGCAGTAACGACGCCTCGTGTGCCCGAGCCTCGCGCTTAGAAGCATCATCAGCGTTCTCGGCTCTCTGTGTGCCTCTAACGCAGAGCCCCGCATTTAGAAGCATCATCAGCGTTCTCAACTCTCCGTGTGTGGCTCTAACGCAGAACCTCGCCGCTAGAACCATCATCAGCATTCTCTGCTCTCTGTGTGTGGCTCTAACGCAGAGCATCGCCTCTAGAACCATCATCAGCATTCTCGGCTCTCTGTGTATGGCTCTAACGCAGAGCCTCACCTCTAGAAGCATCATCAGCGTTCTCGGCTCTCCGTGTGCCTCTAACGCAGAGCCTCACCTCTAGAACCATCATCAGCGTTCTCGGCTCTCCGTGTGCCTCTAACGCAGAGCGACAACCGCGTCTCGTGTCGGGGACGCGGCTGCAGAACCGGTCTGAGGCAGCGGCGCCAGGGCACTAAATCAGGAGCGGCAGACGTCATCGCGACGCTGCTAAACTTAAGTGCGAAGATTGCAAGTTCCCCCGTTAGCGAGACGTGAAACTACCTCGCAACCACTGCTGAATACACGACAATATCATCATCATCACCATCATTACCACCATCACCACTATCATAACCATCATCAATACATACACGCATCTAAAATCCATCCAAAGCGACTAATCCGCACACAAAAAAGTACAGTGAATACAAAAATAAAATAAAAAACAAACCACGACGTTTCGATCGCAACACCACTTGTGTTGCGATCAAAACGTCGTGGTTTTATTTTATTTTATTTAAATTATTTTTATTCGCTTTATTTTTATTATTATGTTTCTATCTACGTGACTTTACCGAAAGAATCAACGAATATGAATTCCTTCAGTCACGAAAGTTTTAAGTCAAAATTTACGCCACACGACTAAACCACAACTCTGACTTATACCATTTACACATTTAGCAGCGGCTTGGGGAGGCCTCCATCCAGCA